ATATGGGGTGGTCGGGAGCCCGACTGCCTGAAGTACTGTAGCATAATGACTACTCGTCCGTTATATTAATTATATTAGGGACTTATGATATTAAACTCAATGATACAAAAGCAATACTATAGAAGGTCTCCATGATGAATTTGCATTACAATAGTGGGGTCGTGGGTTGAAGTCCTATATATTAATGACTTATGAAAGTGAGGTCTATGATACAAAAGCAATACTATAGAAGGTCTCTATGATGAATATGCATTACAATAGTAGGGTCGTGGGTTCGAAACCTATATATTAATAAATTATGAAAGTAAGGTCTATGATACAAAAGCAATATTATAGAAGGTCTCCTTGATGCATAAGCATTGTATGGGGTGGTCGGGTGACCGACTGCTCACAGTACTGTAACAAAATGGCTAGTCCTTATTAGCGACTTGAAAAGAAATATTATGGTGGCGTCTATACTGTTTCACGAGCAATTGGTCCGAGGTAAACTTGGACTCGCTAACCGATGTGTCCTAGACATATCATCTTAGTGCTGATGGTAAGCGGGTTTGTTGTAGCAATACTTTGTTACCAAAATCGATAGGGGTCATGTGGGTGTGTTGTGAGGGCGCGCCATCCGTATGATAGTTGCATTGATGCTTACTGCTACTTGCGGTATTGCGTCTTGTGATGGATCTGCGGGTGTGCTGCGCCTGATTCGACGCATTCTTGTGGTTCTGGTTGATGGAGGTAAACAAATAACATCTTACTGCCGGTGGTAAGCGGGTTTGTTGTAGCAATACGGCTTTCCCGTGGACATCGCACACCCATACCGTTTGTGGGCGACGTCGTAGCACATAGCGATGCGTCGTCTATCCTTCGGATTGGTATGATGAGTGTGTTTGGTAGCACTTTTAATTGTAACAGGCATACTCTACTTCATGTCTTAGTGCATTAGCGCTATGATACGTGGAGTTTTGTTCATTGGCGTCTTAGTAGCGTGCTACTATGATACGTTGATGATATTTTTTATATAACAACAATAAAAACTTTGTTACCAAAATCGATAGGGGTCATGTGGGTGTGTTGTGAGGGGGCGCCATCCGTATGATAGTTGCATTTATGCTTACTGCTACTTGCGGTATTGCGTCTTGTGATGGATCTGCGGATGTGCTGCGCCTGATTCGACGCACTCTTGTGGTTCTGGTCGATGGAGGTATGCGGGTGGTGATGTCTGCTGGGATGTATGGGGGACCTTGGGATGGTGTAAGCCCGACGATAGTCGTATTGATGCTTGTTGCGTTCTGCAGCATTGCGTCTCTGCGATGTTTGTTTGGTGGGACGCTATTCTCAATGGCGCTCTCTGCGTCTTGGTTTGACTCACGCCTGAGTAGCTTTGCCCAAGTCGGGTCTCTTCATTACGGGGCTGCAGACTGTCTGCCCTCCATGATGTTTTATATAACAACATAAGAATATATCTCTGTAACTTTCCCACCTTTGAATGATTGAAGGCAACTTGTTGGTGGGTGAGACAAACATGATCGAAAATGCATTTACTCAACATCAGTGACATAAACCCTTTCTGATGGCGAATTATTACTCGTATCTTATAACTGCCTTTTGGCTATATCTGCCGTCGTATTGGTTGGTGGAGCATATGTGTCGACCTCATGCGGGTGGTAGCTGGCGGGAGGATCTGAGGAGACTCTCAAGGCTGCGGCCGAAAGCCGCACAACGTGGGACCCCATTCTCTTGAGGTGAGCGGTAGACTCATGACACGCTCTGCGGCTAGTAGCCGTGCTGATCATGCAATTGGTGGTGATGCCATACAATTACATCACGTCTGCAGGAGCGGCGGTCTGGCAGGTGGTGGCGCTCACGGAGGGTTTACGGCAAGTGTGCCTATTTGCCTAAACCGTGTGACGTACAGTCACTGTGGCTGGATTCGTTCGTATTCGTATTCGACTTCGGTCGATGTTTGTACTTACGCACTAACAAGGGGCCAAGCCTCTTTTACTGGTTCGCCAGTTATTTTGCTGTGGACTACGGTCCAGTTCCAGAATTAGCGTTCCCTTCGGGGGGGAGTGCATCAAAATGGTTGGCGCTCACCGTGCACGGCGTGTGTGGGGCCGTGTGTCTCCCCTACATTTTTTTAAATGAATGTAGGAGAGCGAAGCCCTTGTATCGGGTATTTTGTATAAATATATTTTGAGCCTTTTTTCGGGCGGGAAGGGATAATTAATATTGTAAACCTGATACAAGTAGAATAGGACGTTTTATGTTCTTAACCTTTCTCGAGCCCTGTCTTCGTGAACGGGGTTCACTTAGCTTATAAGGCACTACCAACAGCTTTCAATTGCTCTAGTGAATATTCATTCTTCCAAAAGACACCTAAAAGAACTAAGTTATTAAACAAACACAACGTAAATAAGGGTCCTAACTAAGACGATGTCGCCAAAATATTACAAGCGGCCTATTATTAAACCTTTAGAAAGATCAAAACATATCTTATTTATCCTGGTCGCATATATAATTTTTAATATAAAGGGGAATATAATACATTTAGTATTTTATATATTTATTATTATGAGAGGGGGGAAGCGTTACAGTATCATTAACTTATATTAGGTAGTTACCGTCACAGCGTATTGAAATCCACTGCTGAACATAGGCCTCCCCCATAGATTGTCTCATAGGGGAGATATTTGTCATAGTTGCCACGCTAGACAAGTGGGTTGGCAACCCCAGTTTTTTTATTTTTACCTTATGTAGTAGGGGGTAACAATGATAAAGTATTATTTGCTTATGAAAGTTACTTGAGATCCAAACTCAAACAAGAATTAGTATAATATTGCTACGTATTGAATAATGCCCTTTCTAAATTAATAAATTGGTTTATCGTAAACGTTTTGCTTTGCAATTATAAATATATAAATTTAATAGCACCTAATGTTAAACACCCAAATACTAATTTAACTTTGGTTACTTTATACTATCGCGGTCACCTCGTTTTTTGGCTCTAGAAAATCAAAAAATCTTCCGATTTTGATGATTTTTTTAAATCTTCGTCTTTGCGGCGGATTTATGGAAAAAATATGGAAAATATCTCACCTCAAGATTTTATATAGTTTTATCACTTTAAATGTGATCATAAACGCACTTCTTCGTATATAATCGTTCATAACTACGTAAGTTGCTAACGTTGATTAGCGACAGTAGCCTAATAGCGGGGCGCGGAACTCAAAAAGGTCGTGGGTTCGAATCCACCATTCGACTACTGGCATGAACCACTCGCAACACAAGCAATTTAAGCTTACCCACGAGTGTTCCAGGTGAACGTCGTCGTATCTCGCCTCCAATGCCTCAAGGAACTGCTGATAAGTCACTTCCTTACCGAGAGCTTCTAGAACAGTTGAGGCCAGGTCGCGCAGGCCTAGTGTGAGAGCGGTCATGGCCTGACTTTTATTCCAGTCGTTCGCCAGCTTCGAACTGCATTTTGTAGGCCGACCAGGAAGAAGTCCCGTCGAACGGCGGCACTTTGAACCCACATAGCGAAGGTGTAGTGGCTACTACGGGAGCTGTATTTCCATCCCCAAGTTTGAGTTCATCCAGCGTTATCTTCACTTGGTTGATTTAGGTTTCAGCTTGCGACAGGCGGTTGTAATGTTGTGCAACTTTATCTTTCACCTCCCTTATCTCTTTTTCGAAGGTAGCATGAAGGTATTTCATGAGGAACATATGCTCTTCCTTATCGCGTTTGAGCTGCTCTTTTAAACGAGGGGCCTGTTCCTGTCCGCGCTGCAGTTGCTCTCGACAGGCCTGTACCTCCTGTCGGCGGACCTGTTTCTCCTGCTACTCTTTCAACCAACGGGCCGGCTCGTCCTGTCAGCGGGCCTGTTCTTACTACTGCTCTTTGAGCCAACGGGCCTGTTCCTCTTGTCCACCCCGCAGCTGCTCTTCCAATCGGTGTGCCTGTTCCGCCTGCTGGTGAGCCGGTTCCTGCAGCATCATTATGAGAGCACTTAAGTCAGGTGATATAGGTGTAGGAGCTGTTGATGGGCCAGCCTCCGTGGCTAGCAGTTGGCCCTCCGACGTCTGCGACGTTGCACCACCAAATCTTCTCTGGCCCGTCTCCTGCTGACGTTGACTTCGGGTACACCTTCCGTTTCATCCTTAGGTAAAATCGGCATGATTTTATCCCACTTTTGACACCAATTATTACGAGCTAAGGGTTCGTGATAATAAAAACTGCTGATTGAATTACCAAAATCGACACTTATATTACTGAACACCAGTTAAAACTTAAATCACACTAATAATTATATTCCAGCAAATACCGGCCCCGACCGACCAGGTGCAGAAAGTTCGAGTGTGGGGCTTTCTAGAATGCTTAGTTCTTCCATTCGATATTAGATGGTGCTAGTGCCATCAACTGTGGCACGCAACAATAGTAAGGCGATGTCTTTTATATTAATATTTTACTCTAGGGTTACAAAATGTTATCAGAATGGAAAAAAAGGTAATGTAGTAACAAAGCAATTCAAAGGAGCAAAGCGGAGAACTTTAACCCATATGTGCCATTGCGTCGTTTTTGTCCTTTAAAACACGTTTCAGAAAACTGGCGCGTTTGTCTATAAAAATGTTTATTTGCTACGTCTAGCACCATGCGTTTAAGAGAAAGGCTATTATAAACCCAAAAATATAGATAACTTAGTTTGACGGTTAAGATTATGACAGCGAATGACAGTTCAAGATATGATTTGATGTTTGGTGGCAAAAAAATCTGTTTCTGCTAAAAAATGTAAGTAAAATTGTTTTCTTTGTCAATTTACCAGTTATGTTGTTTTTGTTATAAAGTTTGATTGTTTACTTATCTAATAATAGTAAAAGTATTTAGAAATTAATTTTCCTTTATACGAAAGTAGCCATGTCAACATTCTTGGGTCGAAAACGACCCTTTGGGAGAATGTATGTATTTTTTTTTTGATAACTTTTGTTTTAGGTCTAGAAAGCCGCTTCCAATGAACGAAATTTTAGATGTGTTAGAAAGTTTGAATTATGACGATGGGATACAAGGTGCCGATGTGTTTATCGAACCTACCGGCGATGGCAGGGTGTCAGACGCCGATTTTTGTGAGGAAGAAGATATTTACTTCCATGATTTATCTCGTCGACAGTTACTTGCACTTGCAAGTGTTACTATGAGGCGTCCGTTGGATGAGGAAAGCGTTCTTAGCGAGGGTGAGGAACCCGTTATTACAGAAACAGCGACACTGGAACAAGACAGTCGTGGAATGCTACGCGGAAAAGGAAGTGGAAGCAAACGCGGAAGGGCTCGCAGAAGATCGCGTGGTAGAGGCCCTAGAATAGGACGAGGAAGAGGTGGAGCATCGCTTGATTGTGGTGAAGCTATGGCAAACGAAGTTGTGGAATCCGTTTATTCATCACCGGCATCACTTGAACAAAAGAATCGCAGAAGGGCACGCGGAAGAGGGCGAGGAACAGCTACTCAACATCAAGTGGGTAGGCGCACGTGGGTAAAGAGAGATCTTCCCGTAAATAATCGTGAGTGGATCAGACCCCTTCCCAGGTCTGTTACAACTTTATCGAAAAATTCTGACCCTATTAAATTTTTGAGCTGTTTTTTGATCGAGAAGTTATTGTCCATTTAGTCAAACAAACAGTTACATATGCTGTTCAATCGGGAAACAGGAATTTTTCAATATCTGACAAAGAAATTTACTTCTATATTGGTGTTCTTATATTATCTGATAATGATCCGTTGCCACGCCATCGTATGTTACTGGGAGAGCAATGAAGATAATCGCAATATCCTTGTCACAAAAAATATGCGCCGGAATCGATTCGAAGAGATAAGTCGCTATTTTCATGTAGCCGATAACTCGAATTTACCGAAAATGTGGTGTTAAATTGCATGCAAAATGTTTTTATGAGTTTCATTCTTAATTTGCTTTGTTAAATAAAGAAATAATGTAAAATAACTGATTTTCATTCAACATTAATTTTATTAAACCCAACTGCCCTAGGGGTCGATTTCGACCCATTAAAAAACACTCTTACCTCACTCTTGCCTCAAATTGTTTTCTGGATTCTTTATAAGAACCCTTTAGGTATTAACATTTCTAAAAATTTTACTTATCTGAAGCCAAAAATAGTTCTGAGAATATATTGATTAAGTAATAGAATGGAAAAAAATTGACTCTTTGCGTAATGATTTCTTAAATTTACGCGAACACTACACATTGAATAAAACTAAATTTATGGATTCTATCGCGTTTATTTAACTGATTTTACTTATTTTTAATTCCCGACGTTTCGGGTGCTTTACAGCAACCATGGTCACGGGGGGGGGACTGAGATGTTTGACGTCCCAATGTCATTGCTAGCCCGGCTACCTTCAGTTTTTGAATATTAATTTTTGGTCCGATTTACGCAAAACGAACTTACAGTATTTTGAAGTCTTGCAGTGGTATGCTTGGGTTTGGGTTTAATTTTGTTAATTATAGGATCCCAAGCAGATGGCAGCACCCAACCATCTTCTCTATTGAAATTAGGATGTTTCTTAATTTCAATAGCCTCGCGTATCATCCTTGGTGGGAATCGGTGTTCTTTTGCGAGGGTTTGTGGTTTATCAAATCTGATGTAAAGGTGGGGACGATCTTGAACATGTGAGTCTGCAGTCTGTGAATATGTTCAAGGAAGAACAAGGAAGGAAGGAAGAAGAACAGGTGAGGATGTAAAAATCGATAAATTGACAGGATTTTCTTTTTAAAATTGTGTTTTCTGAAAAGCCTTAATCATATTAGTCTTTAAACGATTTTCAAATTTAAACCGGACCGATTCAACTCATTTTACCCTTAGAAAACAGTACCTAAAACCGTAACTTCAAACAAAACTGCAGATAATCGTTTTCAAGCAGAAGAAATTCTTTGTTTCTCACCTTTACAAATACCAAAGAAAGAGGGATACTGTTTTATTGAAATATATCTAGCGCTAATTGGTTTTCTAAATAACCTGTCATGAACACAACCGAGACTAGATCGTAACAGAAAAGATATTGTAAAATAACTTAAGCGAATGGTATAGCAACATATTTATAACAACTCGCAGTTATTTTGCCTTTAACTATGAAAAACTTCTTAGATTTAAAAAATCAAAGGACTGGTAAAAGATGACTTCAAAGAACTGAAAAGAATGCAATAATTTAATGGACGAAATAATTAAGACGAAAGATAAGCGAAGCGTAATATATTTTATAAGATCTTTGTATGGTGAGTGTCGAGTATGCTTTTGTGTTTCGTATGGTGAGTGTAGAGTAGCAAAGACCCTTTTTACTGGAAATGAGGCATACCACCTTAGTTCTCAGGTGTGATAACGCGTCTACATTTTACTTCTTAATCGAGGATAAATGTAAATTATGGGCGACAGCACCAACTTACCATCAGGTGGACTGTTTGCTTGTTTGTCACCCTTATTCTTTTATATAAATAAATGAATAATAACCATATTATTTATCCATTACAGGATGTGAATTTACTTTGTTCGTGTTAGTTATTTAGCTTTTACTTTTTATCAAAAGCACAGTTTTCAATATCGTCTAAATAGTTTATTAAGAAATTCATCAGCAATTTTTCCAAATTTAGGTTTAATAATTTTCTTAAAATTTATATGAGACCGTGTCTAAAGTATAAGATATTTGATAAAAGAAGAATCATTAATCGCTACAGCCGTTTTCAAAAAGCCCGTGAACAAACATAGAAAAATCCGCGTCGATTATAAAATCTTTACTTTTTTTAACTCAGTTGAAAAGAAAATTTTGTTATTACTAATTCGGATACAAAATATACATGTGAATACAACTTTGTGTTAAAACTTTGAACACAAACATTCGTCTGAACTACATAGCATTTGTTCTTATTAACATCAACAAAAGTTCGCGGCCAGTTTATTGAAACTGTCCAAACAAGCGACACATTCAGATCATCGCCTAAAACGAAAGTAAATAAAACCTTTTCTCTTTATCAGCCCGAATTTGTGAATTTGTAAGGTTTACAAATGAATATTGTAAGTTGTATATTGTATTAAGAGAGAGATAAATGTATGTCTTACTATTACTATAATTACAGCTCATTACAAACCCACAGCTGAATGTAGGCCTTCCCCATAGATTGGCACAATCTCCGGCCCCGAGCCACTTGCATCTATCGCCTACCTGCACGTTTCATCAGGTCGTTTCTCTATCTAGTATGGTGTTCCAACCACTGAGTGTGCCAGAACGAGGTGGCTTCTAAAGAACCTTTTACGCCATTAGATATAAATTCTTCGAGCTATGTGTTGTATTATATTATGATAACTTAATATATTTAAATTTTTAATAAGTATATTAATATATTTTTTTATACTTGTGTAGATACACATACAAAGCGTTTTCTCATCATCCTTCTTTGTTCGCATCGGGCATGGTTGGTATAGAAACTATGAAATTTAGGAAGGTTATGCTAATGCTGACACATTATCTATCTATACTGTGTCGATGCTCGATAGTCCGAAGATACCAGAGAGTGTACGCATCCTAGTTCCCCGTAACATACGACAGGAGTCAGGGCTGTAGCTAGCACCGCGCCGCCGGCCTCGTTTGCTAACGCACCTGTCGCGCGCACCAGGTGCGGCGAGCACGCGCCTACTGTCCGCGCTTTACGAATGATTGATGACATACTTGCTCAGAGCGATGATCTCGACTTATTTGCTGATGGATTGAGTAAACTTACATTGACATTGTTGACATTGTATAATTTTTTAACCCTGACATTGATTGTTATAATTACTATTTTAATGATGTATAATATTTTGTTTGACTATTTTGGCCTTTTTGTTTAATTAAGTTGACTAAAATAATTATACAGATCCTAGATTTTTTGAAAACGGAAGGAATATTTCCTATTTATCGCAATGGAGCTAGACATCATGTTACTCGTAGTATTTGTAGACCAGATCATCTACTCGTATTACACCATAGATGTCTATAATTCTTGAACAAATCATAAACAACAATTTAACCTGTTTTCGTAAAAAAAATATTTTCTAACACAAAGTTATCAGATTTGAAAATGTCGGAGTTAGGGATACACAACTAAAACTTTTCACTGTTTCAATAAATATACCAATATTTAATTTGCAACCATCCGCCTAATTAAGTACAATAATGTGTCTTACCTGGATTGAAGAGCACCTACCGCCCTCCCTCAATTGCGTGCACTAATCCCACCACTACTCCAGGAAAGACACACCATCGACGACAATACGACACGTGTTTCGCCTCTACACGAGGCATCTTCAGGTGATGTAGACTCTACAGCGGCTGACCGCTAAGACCGTTTATTATTATCTGTGTTCTGAGCACATTGAACTGTTCTGAACACTTTGCCTTGTTTATATATTATATTAGTCCATATTTCCAATATGGACCATCGATTTCAAAGCCCATATTTTTTTTGTAGATAGTACTCACTAAAAGAAAGCGTTTGGAAAGTTTTAGGTTGCGGAAACTTACGGTTCGTGAGATATATTTTTTAAACTTTTCATACACATTGGCAAATAACACGCAATTACACCAATTACAAAATAAATTTGACAAATGATTGATGTCAAACGTCAATTAGTGTAGGGTTCCGAATATTTTTAAAGTATCTATACGTACTCGATACCAAGTATCGTATCAAAAGTATCAATACTACTTGGTGTCGAGTACATTTCGTTAATTTTGGAGACTAACTTTCCAATATGGATCATCGATATATGAGGTTTTAGGGGTGGGAGGGTGGAGGGACGATGGATACCCCCTGTGCAATCCCCACCCTGCGGAACCCCATGGTTTTGGTGATATTCATGGTTAAAATTTATTATATTATTTATTATTGTTCTTGTTACCATATGTCTGGTGAAATGGAGGGCGGATATGTGGGAGGGTTAAAATTAACTAGATTAAATAAAGAAAAGGGAGGGGCTTATGGGAGGAGAGGGGGTGTGTGGTTAGTCGCAGGGAAGTGGTGTGGTGGGTTAGTAGCGGGGAAATGAGATGGGGGGGGTTTGAAGGGGAAGTCGTGTTCCGGCGCTCCGTGGCAGCTCCGGCGCTGCGGGATGAGCAGTCCCTCCGCCCTAGCGTAGGAAAGCACAGGCACCTGAGGTGCCTGCACTTCACTACGGCGGGCGGGTACTGCTCTCCCTCCGCGCCTCCGGGCTCTTATATACACTCTAGGGGTAGGGCAGACAAGACCACGTTGATAGTGAGGTGCTCTAATTCGGTTTTGGGTACTTTTTGGATATTAAATAAGTAAGTAAACACTTTATAGATATAAGAATTAGATAATACAGCAAGTTGCAAACAATAAAATACAAGTACAAAAGCTGTACTAATTAAGGAATACAAACAAGTTGCAAACAATGAAATACAAGTACTAAGGTGGAACTTAAATAACTTTATTCTACTTTATATACATATATAATTGCACTTATCAGCTCTTCCTATGCATGTAATTTTTCGTCTCCAAATTTAACGAAATGTACTCGATACCAAGTAGTATTAATACTTTTGATACGATACTTGGTATCAAGTAGGTATCGATACATAATACATACATAATACATAAACACT